CGCACTATGCTGAAGCAACGGCCTCCATCAGTTCGGACTTGGGCAAACGTCTGCAAAACTGATCCTGACCACGGGTCAGGGAACGGCTGTGACTGTCTAGAAAAATCGTCACTCGCATGCACTTTTTCACTGAGGACTACTTCACGAAACAGCGTCTCTCAGCTGAAGTAGGACTTGTCGTGCAGAGTCTGCAGAGTTAATACCAAGCAGTGTTTGCGCAAATGCATTAGTGCCAACATGTGTTTGGGCACTGGTGGGAAAGTATGCCGTGTCCTTCCGAGTCTCACATTCCTTCTGAGTGATTATGTGTCTTTCCGTGTTTGCCCCTAGCTGTGTGTTTGTGAGTGTCTCTATGTGCCTGTGAGTTTGTGTTTCCGACTTCATGTGTGTGGTTGTTCCTGGTATTGCATGTTTTTGTGCTTGTGCACATGCTTGTCTGTTTGTGTCGGTATTTGTCTGTGTATGTGCGCGTGTGTCTCTGCTTGTTTGTTTGGCCATTTGTCTGCGTCTCTATTTCCGTTTGTCCGTCCGTCCGTCAGTCCTTCTGTCTCGCTGTGAGTCTGTTTGTCCGTATGTGTGTGTGTGTGTGTGTGCGCGCACGGGTGTGCCTCGTGTGTGCTTGTGTGTTTTTTGTGCATGTGGGTGTGGGTGTGAATGTGCCTGTTTTGGTTTGTTTGTAGGTAGGTAGGTTGGGTGTGGTTTGGTTTGCTTTCGTTTAACTTGGCTCACTTGATGTTTGTTTGCTGGCTTGCTTGCTTGCTTGCTTGCCTGCTTGCCTGCCTGCTTGCTTGCTTGCTTGCTTGCTTGCTTTCTTACTTGCCCGTGTGTGTCTGTGTTGCTTGGTTTTGTGTTGTTTTTTGTTTGTCCTGGTTTTGTTGATTGTGTCCTTAGGTTGTGTTCATGGTTGTGTGGGGCTAATGTACTCCTAGCACCGAATCTCCAGCCGGCGCTTTAAGGCCGGGAGCGATGCAAGGCATTCTTAACGCAGCCGCTTGGCCTCCATTGTGGGAGCCGCGTGCTATTCCAAAACATTATGAGTTGCTTGGTCAAACATCCTGCTAACTTGCAAGGTGGCATGGTTCTGGATCTCAAGCAGTAGTCAAGAAGCAACATGTGTTCTGTTGATTGAGCCATGACTACAAACGTGTGCCGAAGTTTGACCGTGGCTGATATTAGGGCTATGGCCCGCTTCCGCGGAACATCACTGACCATGTTGCATTCCTGTGAAACTGGGGAGGCCAAATTGTGGGGCATGTATGGGCTTTCTCTATTTGGGGCACGTACTGAAAGCAAGAGCACGTGATTGTCTTCCGAGACAAAGGGAGGCAAAAGGCAAAGCCGCGTAAGGCTCCCGTTGGGCAGCATGATCATGATCCACACTTTGTGGTACGGAGATTTGTAGCATGGTCGCCCACTTCCACCTCCTCAAAAAGCTAGGGCTGTTGGCAGTGCCTGGATATCCCCGATTCCAAAGTTGCTCGATGTGTGTCAAGAAGACTTACCTTTTGGAGATAGGTTGGCCCTTAGGGGTGTCTACTGCCACTTAAAAAACTGAAAGGGGGAAATGTTTGGAAACCCAGAGGCTCCCGATTGATTTAGGGCCTTCAAACAACCTGGTTTTGAGACCCCAACCACCTCCGGGGTGTCTAGTGGAGGGGTCGGGTCTTCCATTGAAAGCCCCAGGAGCCTTTGGGAATTGAGGAAAGCCCTGCGCAGAGGTTTTGCCTGGACCGTGACCTGGGCCAGCCAAAGCCCTCGGCCAAGAAGCCAAAAGGCGGAGCCCATTTTGTCAGAGAGGTTGCTAGAGGTTGGGTTGTGGGAGCTTGTCTGCAAATTCATATGGCCATGGGTCATAACCATTTTGGGGCGGATGAACACCCTGCCACCTATTTTGATGTTTATCAGGGGTGTAGGGTTTTGACCCACAGCCGTATGGAACCCAAAAGACCACTATTGCCAGAGGAACCTTTCGTGTTGAAAAACATGCTTACACAGGTGATTGACCAAACAGTCCATTGGCTTCCACTATGCTATCCGAGGAGAACTCCCCTTTCAGTGGAACGAGCCATTGGGAAGGTGGTTGCAATCCCCGCAACCCTGGAGTTGGTACTTTAAAAAGCGGAAGCAGAAGCGCTGTTCCTAGTTGGGGTGTGCTTTTGTTGGAGGGTACCCTTTTCCCCTCGCTTGCAGAAAAACCAAAGGAAGCCCACCAGTTGTTGGGGCGTCCCCGGATTTTGACATGTCAGTTGCCTTCTGACAAAACAAAGCGCTTAGGTGTTGCACCTCATCTTGAAAATCGGATAGGGAAAGGAGGTGCGCTCTATTCCTTGACTGGTCATCGTTGAGAACTGGTGGCAGAGAGGATCATCTTTCAAGAAAAACCGGCTCGCCTTGCAGAGACCATTTGGGGCGGCGTGTTTGGGGGGGTTGGTGGAGGCATAGGCACCAAGGGAACCAGGACCATGACCTCTAGGGAGTTACATATTGTGTCTATGGCCGGAGTCCCACTTTTCAAGCAAGAAGCATCTGTCAACATGGAACCCAAAGCCGAGCCCCTTTTCCAAACAGCCCAAACAGAGATTTCTCAAAAGAGGAAGCCCGGGGCTAAGGCAAACCACGGATTCCTGCTTGAGAACCTTGATGGGTTACGTGACTGAACCTTATGGAAAAACACCCGAGAAGACTGCTCAGAGGCACGGATTCATGCTCTCAACTGCATACTCCTTTAAGATGGCTAGGAATCAATGTTCACTTGCTGGGCAAATTTTGCAGAGCCCCTAAAAAATGTATCAGTCCGCGAGCATCTCCGGGCAAGTCTCCATTGTCAACATGGGAGGTTGACTGCTTCTAGCTGCGAGTAGTCGGCAGATAGATCAAGCGTTCTTTGAAATGCTTTTGCCTTTGCAAAAGCATGCGGTTTCCTGCATCCTTCATATTTGGAGGTCGGTTTCTACTGCATTTTCCGAAGCTGTTTGCTGACCGTCTTCAATTATTTTGCGCACCAAGTCTAAATGGTTATTCCCCACACAAAAGACTATGTGATTTGTTTCCGGGTGGGTATTGGGTGCTGGGAGGCTCCGCTTGAAAAATGAGTACGCAGCCTTCAGCTCCCGGTCCTGCTGGGTCCCTTGTGAGACCCGCAACATGTTTGCGTTGGTTTCGAGGGGGCTCCAACCAGCAAGTTTGAGAGCCCTGCAAAAGACCACTTCACGAGGCAAACATGTTGTTGTTGTTGTTGTTGTTTTCCCCATGCACCTGGCAGGCGCCGGCCGCCTGGATGGCAGATTTGCACCGTTTGCACAGCTCTTGACCCGGGATCAGCATTTTTTCCGGCCCCCGTGTGTTTGTTTGACCACAAAAAGACACGAGGTAGACAGAGTGTGTGCATTCCCTGAAAAGAGGGGGGACATGGTGTGGAGGTTCGACCAACTCTGACCCTTGCCAATGACTGCTTTAACTCCTAGTTTACAAATCCGAAAACACCTCAAACTCGGCTAAACAGACAAGAGCAACAGCTACTGGGGGTGGTTAGGGGGTTTGAGTGTTTCCCTAGTTGCTGTTGGGTCCCATGCATCGGGTTAGCTTAACCCCGCACCCCCTGCCATGGCAACACCAACCATCAACAGGAAGGGAAGTCTTCCAACAGGTGTTCATATTTGTTGAAGCTGTCCCTTTGTTTTCCCTGCACATCCAGCCAACATCGGGAGGCGTGGTTTTGGAACAACTGTTAAGAAAGACACAACTTTAGATTGCAAAGTTATGGCCAATACTTCTGCCAATACTATGGCCATGCGGCTCCAAAACTCAGGTTTGACAAACTGGCAAAGGGCACTCTTCAAGGCCCATTCGCTCCTAACAATACAACCTCATTAAATCATGGCCCTCTCCTTTTTGGGAGCTTACCGACCTTGTCACAGCGGGGGGATGTGCCGCGGGCACTGGATTTCCAAATCAAAAGTTGATCAAATTTCTGGTAGGTTCCAATAAACCTGCAACTTTCAGAGGCCGAAACTTGAGGCTCGGACACGAATGGAAAGCTATCGGTGGAGGCGAACTGCGCATATCGGTGGCATGCCCCTGGTTTCTTGTGGGACTTTGGCCTACGGTCCTATGGGAGTTCCTGTCGGTTTCATTGAAATGTGCGCCTCGATGGGCCTATTTGAGGACCCAAGAGTCATAAGGTAGTTCCTGAAATCACGAGGTTCGCACGTTGCGAGCTGGCCTGTCCCACCAACTAAGCAGAAGCTCCCTATGTTACGAACCCGTATCCCATATTGTGTCAAAACAGAGAAGCCCCCACAGCGGCGAGGTTGCTTTTGGCTTCCCTTTAAACCAATTATCCCAGCAAGAGACCCCAAACAGCGAGAGCGGCATGGAAAGCATCCAAGCACGCAAGCTAAGCTTATATTGTTCATTGCCCGCCAATGCATGAAGGCAGCGTTTTCAATTGGCGTTCTGCGTGGGGCCCCTCCCCTCCCCGCCCCCCGCAGTGGTGCCCTCCGCTCTGTTGCGCGGCACCCCCCGGCTTCGGTTGCATATGTGCATTTGTAGGGCAACCGTTCTTCGTTTCAAACTCGCACCGAGCCACAACGAGAGCCCAAAGTCCGCAGAGGGTTCACGCGCGACAGCGAGAGCGGTTCGACCCACCCAAAGTCTGCAGAAGGTTCACTTTCGATGTTCACAATGTCCACCGCGCCCCAGCGAGAGCGATCCAACACACCCAAAGTCCGCAGAGGGTTCAGCTTCCATGTTCCAAATTCGCGCCGCGCCACAGCGAGAGCGGTTCGACCCACCCAAAGTCCGCAGAGGGTTTCGATGTTCACAATGTGCGCCGCGCCACAGCGACAGCGATTCAACACACCTAAAGTCTGCAGAGGTTCGAGTTCGATTCTGAAAATTCGCACCGCGCCACAGCAAGAGCGATCCAACACACCCAATGCCCGCAGAGGGTTCACCAATCTGCCGCTTTCCGGAATTCGCACGGCGCCACAGCGAGGGCGCACTATCGAAAGACACTGAGTTTCGGCACCCGACTTTCTGCGAACCTGCGCAGTTGAAACACACATCAACATCACACAAGAGCATGATTCAGCGGTAATACACAGACAAAACAGGCCCGACCAGCCCGAGCACCTCGATCTAGCACCGCGCCTTTTGCTCCGTTTGGGGAAGAAAAGGCCTGCGTGCTTTATTTCGCTAAGGCGGCCTTTGGTCGCTCCTGGACTGCGACTGTTGCAAGAAGTGCTGCGAGAGCATGGCAGTGTTCAAGGCTTGCCAGGATGGCTGCGCCTCGATGTGTTTGGCTGCGTCGATCTCTTGCCCAATACGGCATCAAGGAGATCAAACCACCCCCTAGGCGAGGTAACCACTTTTGTGGTGGGCATGGGGTGGGGTGGAGGTAGTTGAAACCGTTGGACAATGTTGGACACACACACACACGACATATCTTGAAGTGTCTGCTTCATTTCGGTGACTCCAAGCAGGTCCAGCTTGAAGAAGGCACACTTTTGCCCTTACTCTCTTCTGTCTGGGAATGACCTGAAGGCTGAAAGGGCCGAATATGTTCTAGCTCCCGCGATAGCTCCAACTACCGTCTAACGAACATCCAACGTCACAGGCTAAGACAAGTTCCAAAGCTGCTAGGTTCTCGGTCAGTGTTCTTTCGCAACTGGCCAACAAGGGGCCTCTCCCCCCAAACGAAGTAAACTAGGTCCCCCAGAGTGCCCTTTCACCCTTTTTTGGGGGAGGGTTCCCCTACTAAAACAGACGACAGAAAAAGGGGTACCCTTATTCCAACCTCTCTACAACGCAGGACCTAGTATCCTTTCGTGCGGTTGCAACTACATTGAGTTGGAGATGTTCGAGATGAGGCGAGGATGGCCACAACCAGGCGGTGAATGGGATCTTCGCCGGCCTCTTCGCAGGCTTGGCCTTCGCAGGCTCTTGCGCGCGCCTTGGCGAAGCCAGAGGCGGTCCTGGCGAAGCTGGCCAGTAGTGCCCTTTTACCAACTTTTGTGAAAAAGGGCTCCCCCACCAAAATAAACCAGAAAAAAAGGGTGCCCTTATTCTAACCTCTCCACTGGAGGACCTAGCTTAGAATCCTCATTTGAGGGTTGATCAAAAGGTCCTTTACGTGGAATGAGCACCGGGGAGACGACTAAAAAGATGATGCGTTCCCATTTCGTGGGAAAGCTAGCCATGGTCATTTGGGGCCAGGAACATTGATCAACCCCCGTTTGTGTCATCAATGTTTGCCTTCGCTTTGTAGCTGTACAAGGAATATGTCTACAAAGAGTCAAAAGAACTTTACACATGGCTTAGCCGTTGGGATTCCTTCACGTGTAAGTTTTAGCCCTTCGAGTGAATCATTTGATTTGCAGCCCCGGTTCTTCAAACCAAAGGCGCCGACAGCTTTGTTAAGGATGGAAACTAGGGGCGCCCCTTGTTTTTGGAGGGGATACGACCCTAGGGGTGCGACTCTGGAATTTGTGAATTCGTGTTGCTTGTTGGCTGTTCCTAGCGTCTCAGACGTGAGCATCGGAGGGAGACCCCCACAAATTCCCATATTTCTAGGTCTGTGTGTTCCAGTGCAAGTTTCACGTGCGTTTGGTTTCCCTTCAGAATTAGCCAGGGTTGACTAAGATCGCCTTCAGATACTTCGGCCGTTTTTTTGACTTTTCCCAGGGGGTGATTTTGTGACGCCTTTGGCCACGGGATTACAAGGGGCCGCCATGTGTGTCATGACTCTGTGTCCTCTTTCCCTATGGGGCAGCTGGGGGCACCTTCAACCACACTTGTCAGTTGGTGGGCTGGGTTTCAACATAACAAAGGAGCATGTGCTGCGTTCCAATTAACCGTCCGTTGAAGATTTTAACAGGAAACCATTGTCTTTTTTGCAGACTCCCCATTTATTTACGCATGGTGAGCGACCAAAGAAACTTGGAAAAGGCGTAGCATTCACACTCTCGCTTTCTGGCGACCAGCTTGCGCACAGACTGCGCCTTGATTGTCTCATTCCAAAGCTGTTTGGATGCCCAGGTTCGGTCGCTTGGATACTTCCGAAGCCAACAGCCCAGCAGAAATCAAAGGGACACCTTGTGTTTCTCTGAGACACCAACCAAAAGGAGGTTGCCTAGGACATACCCATTGAGTCACGACTCCAGCAACCGATCATATGTTTTGTCAGGTTCTTTTAACGAGTTGGTAATTCTGCAGGGGACAAGCATGCAGGGGTTCGTGTCGATACATCCAAATGGGTATGTGTCAAAATAGGGGAGCCCCTAAAATGAGGGGTATCCTTTGGTTCCGTTTAGACCAACCTGAAAAGGGTGCACTCAAAAAACACACCCCCAACGTTGGCGTTCCTTACGATGGCCCCTGCTTGTAAAACAGGCGCAATGCTCTCCCTATGCTTCGCTGCAGAAGAGCTTCGGAATGTGTTAGTTCTTTGGGTGCCACAAGCTATACAGGCTTTCCTTATCTGATTTTGACGCGTGACCCACCTCGACGAATTCACTTTGATTGTAAAAGGGCCTGGTGAACTTTCAAACTGCCGTCGACGTGCCCTGGTTGCTTTTTGTTCTTGGTCCAACATGGCGACACGTATTTTCACGGCATGATTTCTCATCGACCGAAGCGGACCTTTTGACTTCTTGTGTTTGATCTAAATCCCAGTCCTTCCAGGCAAGCCACTGGTTAACCCTTCAGGTTCCCTGCCTGCAGGTTTTACCATGAATGGCTTCCCCTGATTCCGACAACACTCACAGGCGCGACGGTGCTTGGATGGTCTTCTTTTGTTTCCACGTCCGAGAAGGGAAATTCGAAGCAACCGCCCAGATTCGTGATCTTCGGCGTGCGGATGGACATGGTGGCCTGGCGTAACTTGTTGCATGCGCTGGCTGAATGTACAACCACACATCCACTTCTTTTGGCGCTTCGGATTGTCAGTTTGCGTTGGTTTTTTTTGGGCGTGGGTCAAAATTAAACCACCAGGGGACCGCAGGTTTGAGTCCTTGTTTCCATTTACCAGGGTTCCATTTTGGGTACATATTCTTGACCCGCGGCCATTTGCAAGTGATGGGTTGGCGCTTCCCGTTTTGGTGAAGTAAGAACCAAGGGAGAAGATCCCCCAACCACCAATTCAGAATTACAGCAGAATATGGATTTAACTCCGAATCGGGACACGCGGTATCTTATGGCTGCTCATTGAAACAGTCCCACAACGTGTACCCTCAAACAAACGGCTTGCCCTTCGCGCTAAGCGCAGCCAGGAGAGTAACTATGTGCTTTGAAAAATATTGTCACTGTGCAAGACGCGGGACAGCCAGGGCTTGCTTGCAAGATATGCTTACGAGAGCACAAACACTGCATTTGGGAAACAAGCAGGAGAAGCCGGGAAAAGGTCCGAGCCAGCAAACACAAGGAAGGAGACAAATTGGGAGAGGTGGGGAGACAAGGTGTGACAAGGTGCGAGGGAGACAATGGGCAGAGAAGTGGGGAGAGACTGTGACAAGGTCCGAGCGAGCAAGCGCAAGTAGGGAGACAACTGGGGAGACAAGCAGTGACAAGGTCCGAGCCAGAAAGTATGAGCAGGGAGACATGTGGGGAGACAAGTGGGGAGACAAGTGGGGAGGCAAGTCGGGAGACAAGCGGGGAGGCAATTAGTGACGGGGAGTAATTGTTTGCCTGAAGAGATAACCCTAACAGCTATGCTGTTTGGGGAATACTCAATCAAACTAAACCAACATGGTCACATTGTCACAAGGAAACCAACATGGTCACATTGCCCTTTGGAGGACTCCTTGGTGTTGACACATATCCGTGAACAAGTATTCGCATAAAACAACATGTTTATGGGGTAGCCTGCATTGACATCGGACAGGTGATATGAATCTTATGATCAAGGCGGCAAGCGATGGTTGTTGTAATCGAGGAAGCATGCGCTCGTGAGTCTCATGATAACATATATATATATATGCATACTTATATATGCATGACGTCCACGATGCCTTATTGCACTGTCTGGTGAACTTGACTGCGTGGCTTGCAAGTTTGCCCTTTGCAGTTGTTATTTGACTCACCTGTTTGTTTAGATGCATATGGTTAAGATACCTCTCCGGTTTGGGTTAGTAGGAAAGGGGGTGAGAGGGGGTGGGTAAAGGATCCTGAAAGGGAAACATTCCCAAAGGGCAAGCACTGAGGAAGCTCAGGCACTACCTCAAGCATACACGCCTCAGCAAGACGACGACCAAATTGGGGCACGTGTCACAGGGGCGCGTAATGATTTTGACCACATCATCTGTTTTGTTTTCGAGAGCCATGGCTCCTGGAGGACTTGATGTCTGCCTCGAGACCAGGGTTGGATTCGCTTCATGCAGGGTCGTGGTCAAAAGACCCTGTTAACATGTTACTTGTACTTGGGTTGGTAGGGAGGCAGGGATGGTCATCAAACTCCCACGATGAGATTTAGACAACCAGTGTAAGTTATCAAGGTTCCTGCTGAGGGAACCATGCACAGAGACCCGACGGACCCACATAAGACTTTCGACCATGGCTCCGATCAAGGCCCCGGCCAAATGTGCCCTTGACTAGTTTTGATCCGCGCGTGTCTTGGCGCCAAGGACGCATCGGAAGATGTGTGGAGCACCTTCATCCTTGGCATCAGCCTGAACTTCTTTCTGCTGTGGTTCCTGCAGAGCTTTCTGATATTTCACGCGCTTTTGGCAAGCACTTGGCAAGCTGCACATGCATCAGCTGACCAAGTCGACACGGGCTGACCATTTCTAGTCTCAGTCAACAGTGGCCTAGCTATGCAGCGAAACGTCTTTTCAACCCCACCCAAAAGATGTCAAACAGCAAGTCGCAACTGGCCCAAAACAGGCACTTCAAACACTGAGATGCATTGGGTGGCCCTGTGATGCTTGCTACAGAGCTCCCTTAAATCCCGCAATCTTTGGATTTCTGACCCTCAGATTTCTCAAAATCCCCATTCTATTCAAAGGGAGCCGTTTGACTAGCCGGCCTCCTTCGTGACGGACTTCAGGTGAAGAGTTTTGATCTGTCCTCCAAGCCAACGAGGCCGCAATGAAACTTAGCTTGCCAGAATGGTTCAAGCACCTCTTGTTGAAGCAGCCTCCTGTACAAACATAATGTTTATATACTCCCCCTGTTTATAAGGCCCCCCTGGTTGTTTTTAATTTATCCCCCTGGTTTATCACGCGCCTTTTATAAGATCCCCCTGGTTTACTCATTTCTGACGTTGGTTGAGCAACGCACGTGCTGGATTTCGATTTAACTACCCCATTTGATCCGCGTGCTAAGGTGCGTTGGCTATACCAGCATTGGGAGGGACGGAGGCGGGGTCAGCAGGGCTGGGCCAAATGGCTTTGCGCAAGTTGTATACACGTCAAACCAGTTCGGGTAGATGAATATCCAAGTGAATGGGGTAAATTTATGTCCTGGCTGGGATAAACATGAAGTCAGGCTTTGTTGCGACATGTAGCAGCATAGGTCCTATGAGATCACATGTCATCCTGTTCGCCCAGAAACCATCTCAAACTCACCCTGTTCCGCGGAGCGTTTTGTGGATGCCAGCCACACGCGTTCCCGCCTCCGGCTGAAGTGTATCCACCATGCCAAGCACGTTGGTCTCATTTTGTTACTTGCTTCGTGGCCATGGAAGCACTAAACAACCGGAGACCTTGATTGACTGACTTGATTGATTTGGTTGAATTGAGTGCATGGAGTGAGGTTTGGGTGGCGGGTGATTTGATTTGATGTGATTTCGTTTGATTGATTGAGTTGGGTTGAGTTGAACTGAATGGAGTTGATTTCATTGATTGAATGGATTGGATTGGATTGGATTGGATTGGATTGGGATTGGATTGGATTGGATTGGATTGGATTGGATTGGATTGGTTTGGATTGATTGATTGACTTGATTGACTGGATAGATTTAATTGATGTAATTGAATTGAGTGAACGGATTGAGGGTTGGTTTGTTGGTTGGTTGATTTGAATTTGATTTGATTTGATTTGACTTGAACTGAATTGAATTGATTGAATTGGTTGGTTGGTTGGTTGGTTGGTTGACTTGATTGATTGATTGATTGATTGATTGATTGATTGATTGGATTGGATTGGATTGGATTGGATTGGATTGGATTGGATTGGATTGGATTGGATTGGATTGATTGATTGATTTGATTGATTGGTTGATTGATTGATTGATTGATTGATTGATTTGATTGATTGGTTGATTGATTGATTGATTGATTGATTGATTGATTGATTGATTGATTGATTGATTGATTGATTGATTGATTTGATTTATTGACTTGTGTTGTTCTATTTGTTTCTTTGATTTGATTTTGTTTGATTGGATTGGATTGGATTTGATTTGATTTGATTTACTTGATTGCTTGCTTCATGGATGGATTGATTACTGGCTAATTGATTTGCTTTTTGATTATTTGATTTGACTATATTTGATTAGATGTGATTAGATTTGATTGATTGGTAGAATGAATGAATGGATGGAATGAATGAATTATTTCATTATATATCTAATTGAATTTTCATTGAATTGAACGAATTGAGTGAATTTTAGATTGACTGACTGATTGCTTGGTTTGTTTGTTTGTTTGTTTGTTTGTTTGTTTGTTTTTGTCTGTTGATTTATTGTTTGGGCGGCGAGTCCTACCCAAACCGCTTGCAAACACACCGATTTGAGGCCCCAAGACTGACACGGCCAGATTGTGCCTGCAGGTGGAAGGTCTTGAACCAGACTATCCCTCCGGTGCCCGAGTGCTGGTTGGAGCTGGAGCATTGCTTCCGTGCCATGGATGCGGATGGCGATGGCTTCGTCAGCAAGGAAGATGCCCCTCGCCGAACGAGAGAGATTTGGGTCCTTCTTGGACTGTTTTGATCTCGGGGTCTCCTCTAAATAGAGAGGGGGGCATACGTACTCTGTGTTCCCATGTTGTGGGCCAAGTATTGTCCAAATGTGCACTTGTGGGGGTCCTCGCCCCGAAAATTGTTTTGTTTTTTGTTCTGGCACCCTTAACCAGAGCACTAGGTTTATTTTGGAGGGGGGTTCCTTTGGAACCACCAACAAATCGGTCATTTTGAGGATGTCGCTTTGCTGGACCCCAGATGTAGGAGCCAAGATGCAGGATTCCTCTCGGTAAGCCAAACTGGTCCGAATAAGATTCAACAGGCCGACCCACCACTGACTTGACCAAAGCCAATCTACCTTTGGACCTTGTTGTGCGATGCACAGTTCCTAGATGCCTCGTTTCCGGTGGCTCAAACTTCGCCATGCCGGGCAACTTGAACTTGAATGTAAAAGAAGCCGCCAACGTAGCCCAGGTTTTAGGTTGAACGCTGGGTTTAACAAGAAAGGTTCTCATTGCATATGTATTTGCTCAGGGGTTGTCTGCTTTAGTAGAAATGGTACAGGTCAAGGGGCCATTGCCTTGCATCCGGGCCGCCTGCTTCAACTCGGAGACTTGGATCGGGATCAAGTGAGAGGAAATGTTGAGCCTGAGATTTCGCAGATGCAGAGGACCACCCCACCGCCCAAAGCAGTTGAGTGTACCTTTTGATGAACCCAGTTACTTGGGCGAAGTCGATGTGGCGTGTTAAGAAACGCATGACCAGAGGCATAGACAAAATGTCCTTCCGAGCGCGCCAAGTGCGTCAGGCTCTTAGGCGCCCTTCACTTAGACTTTGACGAGTTGCTCATGGCGAAAGGGCCCATTTCTCCATTGCTTATTCCATGTTCCACCGCGTGACTTTTGAATATATATATATATAGAGAGAGAGAGAGAGACATATTATACATACGTGTGTTTGGCAAAATATATGATTCATTCTCAAACCACCCCGTGACCTTCAGGGCTGTGCCCATACATACATACCTACCTACCTACCTACATACATACATACATACATATGGTCGTATTTACTGAGAACCTGGGACGGCAAACATACATTTGGTGACTACAAGAGTTGTAATATTTGGGACGCGTACTCCCAGGAAGGGTGCCCGAGCAAGACTCGGACTGCCTGGCCTGAGGCCTCTCGATTGGTGAGGCTCCATTTGTCTCAGGACCCGGCCTTCGCTGGCGATTTCCTGCTGAGATAGCCAGTTGCCGTGGGTTGTTCCACCAATTCTGTGATTGAAGAACAAAAATGCCAGACACAATCTTGCAAATCCACCCAGAGGTTCGCTTTCTATGTGCTCGCTTTGTAAAGTTGCTGAATTATTGGCCCTTTGTCGGAGAGCAAAACGGCTGGCCTTCATGAAAGTGTTTTGGGATATGCTGCGTCTTTGGAAGCCAATGGGCCTGATTCCCTGACAGGGGCACCTCAGTGGCTCCGTTTTGCGGGAACGCATCGATATGCAAACCGAGGCCACGAGAAGTAACATTTGGGAAACCGAGAGCCAGCCGTGCTACTTTTCTAGGGTAGGCACATGATGTTGCCAGGGCACAGCCGTGGCCAATCAATCCACCCAAAGCTTCGAGATGTGGTCTGTTGGGGTCGCTTTGGGGCCACTTCTCAATGGACCCTCCAACGCCTCGGCCGCCTCGGCTGCTTGTAAGCAATAAGTGAGCTTCGATTCTTTAAGACTCCCTTTCTTCAATCATGACTTTGACTCAAGTAACAGCTGTGAGATACGACCCTAGGCAGACTGGGATATCCTCAACAGTCAATGCCAGGGGTGTTTGTGCCTACCGCTTGTCCACACTACTCGTTTTCCCGGTGGCCGACACGGGTTATAGTGGTTCGTACGTCCCATGAGGGAGCATGGGAAGAGTAGTATTCGGCATATGTTGTTGTACATGTGCATACAAATGTGCAGTGGTACAAGGGGTACGCAGAGATCCTCGAAGCAGTCTTTTTATCGAGCTTTGTTGCTATGCAGACAACTTGCCTTGCTCTTATTCTTGGCCTTTAGCTTATGCAGATCCTCTAGCTTTCTTGGCCAGCACTCAAGACAGTTGTTGGTAGATAAGATGGTAAGTTGTGATGCGGGGACTAATTGACTTGAATGGCCCGGCGGAGAGGCGAAAAGTGCAAAGCTGACTTGTGCAAAATCTCCCTTCAGCCCGGCTTGATCCGGTGGAGTGTTTCCCCTCCTCATGGCGCTCTCATCCAAAGGGAGCGGCTTTGCATGTGCGCTTGACTTGGGCGTATGTTTTGGAGGATACTTTTTAAAGGCTGGCGAAGGGAAACAAAAGGGCAACCCCCATTTTCACAAATCCCTTCGAGCCGCGAGGACCTCAAAGAGGAGAGCTGGGACAAGCTCCTCGCGGAGTTGGACCGAGACCAAGATGCGAAGCTGTCCCTTGAGGAGGTGGAAGCCATCAGGACGGGGCCAAAAGCCCACTTCACAACTGGTGGGTTGGGGCGGGCGCGCGGAAAACGGGAGGTTGGGGTGAAAGGTGCTTTTTGTCTTAGCCAGGGTCAGGCGAAGAGCCAAGCCGACCTCTGGTAGATTAAGCTTGCCAACCATAAATAGGTGCGGATATGATCCCACCCTTCTGGCTCTTCAGGTGGTTCTGAATAGACCATTTGTTTAAAGTCACCTTGGTACCATGTGTTCCAGTATGATTCAGAAGAGGACATGGTTTTGGGGATGTACCTGCTGTCTCCCAGAGACTCAAGGGAGGGTGTTCTACCAAGAGTTGTTTGTTCAGGCATGTATCCTACGAGGGTTGTTGGAAGACATATGTGCCTCGAATGCCGTGGCTGGCCTTAACTGATGTTGCAGGTGACGCACTGTAAGTCGTGCTCCTCTATCCAAGGTAGGTGCAGGCTGCACGGCGGCACTGATGCATGCGGTGCTGAAGCGCAGCTGGTAGCAGCATGCAAAGGGGAATGCAAGCCAGCAATGCTATGGTCCGGGACATTGCCTGGCTGTTTAGTCCGACTAGGCAGCAGGGAGATGTTAGTTTACTGGGGATGGTCTCGACCTGATGCTTCTGCGTTTCTGAGCAGCATGTAACCTTCTGTATTTTGGGGTATCCTCTATGCCAGCGTAGCAGAGCCCACATGTGTAATGCCCCTCAAACGAAGATTGTGTGATTGATCATGCAAGAGGGTATTCCACACAACCCTGATGTTCAAGCCGACACGCAGGATCGAGTTCGCTACCAAGACCGGGTGGTGGTTCATAGACCACTCGATGCCACAAGTGCAAGGTTCGCAAGTGCCGCAAGCTTCCCAACCGGCAGAAGCTTGAGGATCCGGGGGCAATTCATCAGTTGGTCGATTTGGAATGAGCCACAGCACGCGCAAGCGAATTTGAATAGGCTACTCTGTCACAGAGAAAGGAAGTGAAGGCTTCTGTTGTAAGGCTGCCAGGGGTAATGACGGCAGTGGAAACGCTTCCAACCATGAACTGGCTTTCTGCCTTTGTACATCACCAATGAATTTCAATACACATTTGTGAGTGTTCGGATTTTGGTTCTGACTTAAGACTTAAGTGATGGATTTGCCCACCCTTGCTCACAAGTCAGCTGTTCCTTGCATGGCCAATTTGTTGGTCTTGAGACCAGCCGCGCAACTTCAATCTTAGCTGTACAGCCTCCCCGCTAAACCTGCGGCAAAACCTGCAAAATGGCCTAAAGTCGCGCTATTTGAAGCACGCATTGGCTGGATATTTCAGACATCGGTGGCACAGATGGATAAATTAGACACATGCAAGTTGCAACAAGTCCCGCGTATTGCTTTTCGAGAGACGAAAGGAGGTCATGTCTTTTGCTACTTGTCTGAGCACACATAGTTATGAATTGGAGTCCCTTACAAGAGTACTCATGTGATCATCTGCTATTGTGATTTCAGCTCAACTGACCGCTCTTTGGCCCCTCATCTTACAATTTCAAGCTCTTTCTTAAATGTTCCTTTATTCGGAACCTAGGGAACAGGTTAGTAAACCAAAGAAGTTTATTTTATTTTATTGTCCTTTTCACATGTTTGTACGAGTCCATATTAAATACCAGTAGAGCCGGCGAAGCCGGTGGACGGAAGTTTCTAAAGCGAGAAGAGTGCCTATAGGAAGAGCTTGGCTTGTTTTTTGTTTTTTTTGTTGCGCTCTTTCTTTGTCTCTTTCTTTTTCTTGTTTTTTCTTTCTGTCTTTCTTTCTTTCATTATTCAGTCTTTCTTTTTTTTTGCTTTCTTTCTTGTTCTTTTCTTTCTTTCTCTATCTCTTTATTTATGTTTATTTATCTTTCTCTTTATTTCTTCTTTCGTTCTTTATGTCTTTCTTTCTTTTATTTCTTTCTTTCCTATTTTCGTTCTTTCTTTATTCTTTTGTTCTTTTTCCTGATTTCTTTCTTTCTTTCTTTATTTATTTATTTATTTCTTTCTTTCTTTCTTTCTTTCTTTCTTTCTCTCTCTCTCTCTCTCTCTATCTTTCTCTTATCATCTATCTATCCATCCATCCATCTATCTATCTATCTGCACCTGACCTTGCCAAAGTGCTGCGCCTGCCACGAAATCTATACTTGACCTTGCGAAAGTGTTGCGCCTGCTACGAAATCTATACTTGACCTTGCGAAAGTGCTGCGCCTGCCACGAAATCTGTACTTGACCTTGCAAAAGTGCTGCGCCTATCTGTACTTGACCTTGCGAAAGTGCTGCGCCTGCCACGAAATCTGTACTTCCCCTGACGAAAGTGTTTCGCCTAAAACGAAATCTGTACTCGACCTTGCGAAAATACTGCGCCTGCCACAAAATGTGCATTTGATTTTACACGGGCACAAAATGCTGCGCTTGACACGAAATCTGCACTTCAGGTTGCCAACGTGCTACGCCTGCCACACAAAATAGACCTCCGAACACGTTTGCGCGAGGGCGAGGCCGTGGCGAGATCGTGACGAACCCATACGTAGAATAGAGATAGCCTTCGTGATTCTCCGTGTTGATTGATGTTACTTTTGAATACCATCGTGTTTTATGATTTATTTTTTCGTATTACGGAAATTTATTTATCCAATATCTTTTGATAAATTATAACTAAGAACATAAACAAATAAATATGGATTTTTTAAAATTAAAATATATTTATTGATGTTTTGTTTGAATAAATGTGATGAATAAATGATATATAGTAATTTAATTTTATTAATTGATATGTTTATTATTATTATGTTTATAAATTTGTATGAGTTTGGAATTGTATTTTTTGTATATGTTGGAATTGTTGTAGTGATATGTTGGTTGTTGGTGTTTTGTTTTTTGTTTTTTTTTTTTTTTTCCGTGTTTTGTTATGAGGGGGGAATATTATTTTTATTTTGATAATAATAAAATAATTAAAAAGAGAAATAACAAATCAAATTAAATAAGAAATAAAATAAAAAAGGTGGGGGGGAAAAAAAAGGAAATAAAAAATGGGAAACACAAATTTTAAAAAAATAAGAATTATTATTATTGAAATATATAACTATAAAATTATTAATGTATTTGCTAAATATGGTTTGTTGTTTTTTAAAATAATAAATTTTAATTAATTGATTAAATTTAAATATATATAATTTTGATTTTATTTTTAGGCATATTTTTTGTTTAATAAATTAATTTCGTAATGATTTTTATATATAATTTACCAAAATGTTTGATATGGGTTTATGGAGGTTTTTATATAATTCCTTTATTTCTTTTTATTTATATATATGCCTTTCTATTTGTTTTTGTTTGATTTTTTTATTGTTTAATTCTTTTATTGTTTGTTTTTTTTATTATTTGCTTCTTTTTATATATTTTTCTTTCCTTGTTTATTTTTCTGTATTTATTTATTTTTATATTTCTTTCTTTTTATTTGTTTTTCTTTTTGTTCTTATTGGGTCTCTCTGTTTTATTTATTTTTCTTTGTTTGTCTTTTTTTTTAGTTTGCTATTAATTATTATTCAAATTGTATTTATATATTTTATATTTTTGTTTTTTTCTCTTTCTTTCTATTTTTCTTATTTCTCTTTTTGTAATTATATATTTTTCTTTATGTATATATTTTTCTGTATTTTTTTGTTTTAGTTTTTCTTTTTTGGTTTATATATTTTTTCGATTATTTGTTTTTTATTTTGAATTAATAATATTATTGTTAATTTTTTTTTTTTTTTTCTTGATATATATATGTTTATTTTGTTTTGTTGATCGATATTCTTATATTCTTTTTGATTTGGAATATTAAAATAGATTATTTTTTTTGAATATATATATATATATTAGTCGGATTTTGATATAGATAATTGTTTTTGTATAAGCCTCGAAATTGTTTAACAATATTTATAATATTCGATCTTGAATGGCAGATATATTAGACCGGCTGAAAATAGATATATTTAAGATTAATTCATAAAAAAATACATTATAATTTTAGGTTTTGTCGCAAAATATACGAAATATTTAGATTATTTAAGGTATTTCAATTCAATATCGTATTAATGCCCGATTTTCTATAATAATTTGTCGATTCCATTTATATATTTTAGAATTTATATTATTGATAAATATTATTTTCCAAATATTCCTTATATTATAATACAATTCCATCATATAAGTTCGATTATATAATTTCCTTTTAAGATATATGTATTTTTTTTATCTAAATCATTAAAATAATATTAAAAATAATTATATATATTCTTAATATAAAATATTATAAAATCAGCATATAATAAATCTATATATATATATATTATCGATTGCCCGCTGCTTTCCACCAGCCTGCGAATTGAAGCCCATGGCAAGAGAATAACAAAATGAGAAAAAATATATATGATTTTTTCACGAAAATGGTCCGGACCCACCACTAATATGATTATAGTACGGAGATTGTGGTATATGATTGCAGGGCCAACGCTGTTTGGGATCTGCGAAAATAAGCGCAAGGACACGAAAAACGGTCCTAAATCATTTTTAAGCGAATCCAATAATTTTCGGCAAAATGGTCCGGGCTCGCTACGGAAACAATGTTGTTATAAAGATTTGTGCTAAAACAATATCAGTTCGGCAAGTCGTATGACCAAGAAATATGAGGGCGCAGACCGATAGTTTCTCCGAGGCAGTATACGTCCGCCGAAGAAATATCATTATAAGGCCCGGCAGCCTCGCAAAGTAGGATGAAAGGGACGCTATATGTCATATCCGAATCACGAAATTTAATATTGTTATATTGCTTAGGCCCCCCCTGTAGAAACAATCACAAATCGGCTAGGAAAAGTGTTCCCAGATCATTTCCCAGAACAAGTTTGAAATTTTCGGGCAAATGGTCCGGGCCCACCACGGATACGATAATAGTATGGAGATTTGTGCTATAATAGAATCGTGTCGCAGAATTACATAACTAAGAAGCATAACGAGGCTCAAACCGGTAATTTCTTCATCTTCCCAAAATTAAGGAGAATGTTACACATTATGAAAGGCCAATGTTGCTACGTTACATAGAGCCTATGAAAATAAACGAATATAAAAGATACCCAAAAAATATAAGCGATTTAAAATCGCTCCGATTTTGGTTAAAACAACATTGCAATCAAGGGCTAATGTCCCTCATTCGAATCAAAAAAAAATGCATCTAAATTTCTTCAAAGATATATAAGATTTTATTTCCCTCCTAAACAAATCCAAAAACCAGACCCGCAACAAACCTCCTAAGCTTCGCCTAACGCGAGCGGTCCGATAAAATCATATCAATGATTTCAGCCAAAACGACTATAATTAGGGACAAGAATGCTTTTTCAAATTCTTAATTCAAAAAATATAGTATTTTCGTTCAAAGCCCGAATTTTTGATAAATATATTCCGAAATATTCCGAATATTTTAATAATATTATTTTCAAAATATCTTAAAAAAATATATCGAAATATTCGAAATAATTCGAGAAAATAAAATATCTTCCAAAAGCAATCCGAATTTCTCAAAATATCTGTTTTTTCTCGGAAACAAAAAAAACATAATAAATATATATCAAACAAAATATAACAAACAAATT